TTTTTGTCTCTCTGCCTTATTTTGCAGGGGTGAAAAACCTAGGGATCACCAAATTCGAGGCAAAGATTGGCCAGGAGAATGAAGCCAGTATCAGCATGTTCAAAAAGCTTCATTTCAAGGAGGTGAGGTAACAGCCTGTCCTCTTCCCAGAGAACATAAGCAGTGCTTGTCCTGTGGCCGGGATTGAGCTGGTCATCCTCTGTACGATCCAGGTAGCTGTGAACAGCGTCTTCCAAGAAGTGACGCTGAGGCTGGATGTGAGTGACCAAGAGAAGCACTGGCTCCTGGAACAGACAAGCCACGTGGAGGAGAAGAGCTACACTGACCTAAAGCTGCCCTCCGCGGTGCCCCAGAGCTGATGGACGTACCCGGACACGGGCCTGGTTTGCCAGGATGAAGAGTTGGGCACTGTTGCAAGAACCTCTGAGCGTGGACCATACCAGCAGGCTGGCACTGCGCTAGACTGGGTTCATCTGTCTAGCCGGTTGCTTTGGAATCGTGTCGCCTTGGCGCTTTGCTGCAACAGCCAGAAATACTGCCTTAAATTTTGTTCTCAAGAACAGCCACTAGTTCACAGACTTGGCTAGGAATAGCTCTTTGAAACCTCAAAATATCTGACTGTCCCAGCAGAAGGAGAAACACCAGCAGTGTATTGATTCCTAATGCAGGCAGTCTCTGGATAAACACCTTGCGTTCCTCTTACACTGTCCTTAAGGTGAATTCACCAGTCCACACAGGGAGTCCAAATGCGCTGGTAACTGTTTTCTCTTGAATAAAAAACCTGACAAAAATCTGACATGTCCAAGTGTGGTCTAGGAGCAGTGGGGTTTGACTGTGTTCTTTGGGTGGTGTGAGGATAGTTAGAAACAGAGGACAGCACAGATGGGAACTTCTCTTCCGGGGCACGCGGATCCCTCGACATATCCTTCTGCACACCAGCAGTGTATTGATTCCTAATGCAGGCAGTCTCTGGATAAACACCTTGCGTTCCTCTTACACTGTCCTTAAGGTGAATTCACCAGTCCACACAGGGAGTCCAAATGCGCTGGTAACTGTTTTCTCTTGAATAAAAAACCTGACAAAAATCTGACATGTCCAAGTGTGGTCTAGGAGCAGTGGGGTTTGACTGTGTTCTTTGGGTGGTGAGAGGAAAGTTAGAGGACAGCACAGACTGGAACTTGCCTTCCGGGGCGTGCGGATCCCTCGACATATCCCTCTGTTCAGCTAAAACAAGGCCAGAATTAAAAACACAGCTTCTTCCAAGTAAAGGTGACAGTCCAGGGGCAGCACGATTCTTCCAGTTCCGCCTAAAGGCTGGTGATCCACAATAAAACCACAAAGGACAAAGAAGTCAATCTGTTAAAGTGCTTAAAATCACCAGGTATCGGCTTAGCAGATCACGGTGAGACTGGAACCCAACCTCTTCATGGTCCCTATTTCACTTGTTTTATCTGCCTGCCTTTATGCTGGTGGGAGGAAAACATGTTCAAAGAAACCAAGTAGTGAGCACATTCTTCACAGCAGCTCAGCACTTGCTTTATTGAGCCCGGAGGCTCAGTTCACTGCTCCCTATTAAGATGAATGCAGTAAAAAAATACCTTGTACGGGGAGCAGATGTCCTTGGAGGGAGAACCAGCCCGCCACCCTGCACCGTGGTACATCTGGCCTCGAGATCTATTGCTCAGGGAGAGGCGGCCGACCGAATCTCAGACGGGACAGGCCTTTTAATGCAGTTATTTCATCCGACCTTTCCTGCCCGCATACTTTCCATAGCACAGAAGCTTGCTGAAAGAAAGGAACTCTAGCATGTTTTCCCCACTAACCTACAAGTATTTAACACAGATTGTATTGTAGAAAACCTCTGGGCAGCAATAGAATTAAGAGCAACTCCATCTAGAGCTGGCATTGCAGCTATAAAGGCTATTAATCTTTGTGCTCTTGATCCCTATCTGCAAGCTGGAATGAACTTTTGTCTCCCTCGACCAATATTCATAAAAGTGACCAGGAATATTACTGGCTTTTCCGTGCTTTGACTGAAGCAGGGATCCCTCTACAGAGAAGCGAAGTCAAACCTGTTTAAAAGCAACGCTGTGCAGTGGTGCAGAGTAACAACCGTGCACATGTTCTAAGATTAGGGAGGGACAGGCACCCCCGCGTTGGCTCTTGAGGAAGAAATTGGGCTTTTTCTTCCTGAAACTCGGTAGTGGCTTTGCAGGACACGGTCAGGCTGGGCGAACTGCTACGCTGCAACTCTGCTCAGTGCTGGAGCTGAAAAATAGAGCCAAAATAGCAGCTTATTTCTTGTTATTTGATACAAAACAGTATCCATGCTTTTCTTCAACTTGTGCAGCTTCCCAGTGTCTGCTCTGTGGAAAGGCAGGAAAGGCAAAGTCCTCCTTGGAGAAGCACACGGTGAATGGGGGTGCTGCAGGGATGGTCCCATCCCGATGGCGACAGCCCACAACCCTCCGGACCTCTTCCTCCAACGGGAAGCACAGTGAGGCTTCCCGAAGGATGCCCGGCTCCGTGCCGGGAAAGCTGCTGCCTGCAAGCCGGGCTCCAGCGAAATCCCAGTGCTGATCCCAGCAGCTGCACGTGAGGGTGGCTCAGAACAGAGGGGATGAATCCGCTCTCGCGGCTGCTCCGTCCCGAATCCACTCTCGCTGCTGCTCCATCTGGCCGCAAGAGAGCAGCTTCCATCTCCGCTCCTCCGCACAGCCCATGGGGAGCCCTGGCGGAGGGTGTCCCCGGCTCGGTGTCCCCACGAGGAGCAGCCCCGTGGAGCAGTGACCCCAGCCAGATGAGAGGCCCAGGGCAGACTGCCCCGTCTGCCCATCGCGCTGCCCGCGGGTCCCTGCGGCCGGCGGTTGCTCTGGAGCCGCCA